TTTTTTAATACAAATTAAATGTATTATTTCCCTCTGAAGTTTCTGTACCCTGCTAGGGCAGAAGAGAGGGCAATGGACTTGTTTTGATGTGAAATTAGTAAAACTAAAGACAGGATCAGATTTGTCAACTAAAAATATCTGCAGAAGAAAAAACTGGCACCTGATCCAAAGGAAATAATGAATACATAGCTGATGTGCAACGATAATGGAGTTTACCCACAGAAATTATTGCAAAGTTAATCTTAAAAAGGAAATAACTTAATTCTGATCTCAGTGATTTTGATTAAAATCAACTTGAAAAGAATGTCTAATGATTTGGTACTGATGTTACTTCAATTAGCGGAAAAGTGCAAGAAACAAAAGGAATAAAATACTTTTAATCTTAAAAAAGGAGAGCTTCCCGGGGTGTGGGGAAGATGTGTACATGCTGGAACCATGATAAATCTTGCCTGTGAGGAGTAACGAGTTAGTGAAGCTTTTTCAAGTACAACACTTTTCTTTTTGAAGCTAATATTTGCCTTGTAGTAACAGAGTTTCACAGTCACTACAAAGTGCTTGTTATTTCTGTTGCTGGATATATGCTACAGCCACAGTGAGTGCACATAAATGAATAGGTGGCTATCTTTCAGTTGCCTTTTAAAGTGTGATGTATAATGATAAATCACTTTTGGGGCTCTGGTTGGAACAGGGGATTGACAAAGACCTGCTAGGGCCTCTTTTCCCTCGCAGTGCCATTTATAATTTAGCTTTCACCCAGTGGTGCCTGAAAACTATTCTGATTTTACCCAAACCCAGACAAGAGTCTGGAGCTGAAATTCCATGTAACTACAACTGGTTGGAGAATTACCACAGATTCTGGTCGCCCATTTTTTTCCCAATATTTTTTCTGCAGCCCCAACATAAACTAAAGCCTCACACAAAAGTTCTAGGGAAAAGGCAAAAATACACCCTGCAAACATATTGCGAATCTATCTGGAAAATAATTCTGCTGGAGCTTGCAATGTATTTCATTCAGTCTATAAATACAGATAAAATCAGAAGAACTAATCAAGAGCTTGCAGGTATAATTTCATTACCTTTGTTACTGAAGGTACTGACAATAAATAGTTCAATCACTAATCCTAGTGATCCATTCCCTAGTGTTCTGGCACAAGGGGGATTTGCTTTCATCAGATATGGTTGTCCTAAACTGGAATACCATTGCAAAGGTGCGTGCATTTTCTCCGCTGTTTCTCTGCTTAATGGTAAATAAGATACTCAGCTCTCCTTGAAGAAGGCAAGAGTGCTCAATATGCTGGAAAACACACAGCAACATATAATAACAGGACAAGAGCAAATGGAACCACATTTATATGACATTCTAACACTCTCAAGAAACAGGGAGTAGATGAACTTGGATTGATCCTATAGCTTATGTTGAGAAATCTCATTTTAATATTCCGCTGAAGAGACAAAATAATCCAGTAAAAAACTACAATGCCTAACAGATAACGGCTTTCCTATTTAATGAGCAGTCATACACACACATTTTCTTCACAGTATTAACGCCCAATTGGCTGAAAGCTACGAATTACTAAAATCTGTCTTGAAATACAAGTAATCAAATGACAATATGAATATGGTCCTAGAGAGACACAGGCAGCATGTAGTACATAGCTATTTCCAGCATTTTTGAGTTATTATTTGGGGAAAAAAAAGCACCAGTAATTTAGCATTGTGATGAATTGCTATAAAAAAGAGAGTATGTTAAAAAGCCAGGTCAGGACTGACTATAAAGAGAAGATGAATTCCTACAAATCTGACATTCAGTGATAAACCATCCTGTACTCTGCAGCAAAATGCTCTGAAAAACTCATGCTGTGAAAAAAACAGAAAGTTAACTCCTACCTTAACTGAGATAAAGACAGATGTGAATTTTAACTCCCCATAGTTAACATTTATATTGTTAAAGGTAGCGATTATTACGAAGTTTCAATTTAACAGTAATTTAAATAGAAATTAAATGTTTACTTTGAATACCACAGTCCTGAGCTACAACCAAAACTTGTTTTTCTAATTCTGCAGAGAGAATCCACCCACTCTTACTATATGAGTGTGTTCCAGAGCCGAAGTGTCTACTCAAAAATTTTTCTAGTCCTTGTGGTTGCAAAGATAACTCTCAAAACATGAACTGACTGTAAGCAAAGAATCACAGAATCACAGAAACGTAGGGGTTGGAAGCGACCTCTGTGGGTCGTTTAGTCCAATCCCCCTGCCAAAGCAGGGTCACCTACAGCAGGCTGCACAGGACCACGTCTAGGCGGGTCTTGAGTATCTCCAGACAAGAATAATCCACTGACCCTCGGAGCAACCTGTTCCAGTGCTCCGTCACCCTCAGAGTGAAGAAGTTCTTCCTCGTGTTCAGATGGAACTTCCTGTGCTTCAGTTTGTGCCCGTTGCCCCTTGTCCTGTCGCTAGGCACCACTGAAAAGAGTCTGGCCTCATCCTCTTGACACCCACCCTTAAAAAATTTATGGACATTTATAAGATCACCTCTCAGCCTTCTCTTCTTCAGGCTAAACAAGCCCAGCTCTCTCAGCCTAGGAGAGATGCTCCAGTCCCCTCACCATCCTCGTAGCCCTCCTCTGGACTCTCTCCAGTAGCTCCTCATCTTTCTTGAACTGGGGAGCCCAGAACTGGACAGAGCACTCCAGATGGGGCCTCACTAGGGCAGAGTAGAGGGGAAGGAGAACCTCCCTCGACCTGCTGGCCACACTTCTCTTAATGCACCCCAGGATCCCATTGGCTTTCTTGGCACCCAGGGCACACTGCTGGCTCATGGTTAACCTGTCATTCACCAGCACACCCAGGTCCCTCTCCACAGAGCTGCTCTCCAGCAGGTCCGCCCCGAGCCTGTACTGGTGCATGGGGTTGTTCCTCCCCAGGTGCAGGACCCTGCACTTGCCCTTGTTGAATTTCATCAGGTTCCTCTGCGCCCACTTCTCCAGCCTGTCCAGGTCTCGCTGAATGGCAGCACAGCCTTCTGCCGAAGAATGAAGATGGCCTGACAGAACAGGTCTGCAAGAAAGTAAACTCTGAAAGCCACAATTAAAATTTCTGTTATTTTGATCATATTCCAAACAGTAAAATCTTCATTCAGTTTTAACTGTAAAAATGTTAAAAATATATGATTCATAGGTTGAGTTTATCATTGAAAGGACACAACTGATTTTTGCGTGGACTATGCAATGCTGTCAGTCCTTGCACATTTGTGCAGATGAACGTATGGTTCCTTGCCCTCTCCTTTCCATTTTGTGCTCTTCCAGGGACAGTTAGACTGTGGCACATCACACATACTGTATTTATTGGAAATGCTTGTTGTGCCACCAGTTTATCTCCATCTCATGCACTTGAAAGTAAAACTGTTGTGAAGTTTAAATCTATTTCAGTTCTATACAACAGTCCCAGGTCTGGATTTGACTGTCTTTAAAAATTCAGCAAAAGTAGGGTTTAGAAGCTTCCAGAAGCTTGGGTTTGGCTTATAGTTGTTACTCCATAATGTACATTTGCTACCTTCCTCTGGAGCAAATAAAAACATTTCCAAATTTAGGTGGTACCATAAAAATATTCTTTGTTCTAGCCTTTGTTCAGTAAGGCTTAATATAAATCCAGTGACTGCACAGTAGTAATAATTAGTTAATTATCCAGTAAGACAATAATTATTACTGCCTTTGAAAATGTGCCCCCTGTTTATATATGGGCTACAACATCCACCAGGATGTTGAAAAAGTAACATATCTGGCTCATGCACTTAATGCTTTCATTTCAAATCTAATGCTTTCTATTACACAACCTCTTTAACAGAAGTTGATAACAGCACAAGAACTGCTGGGCTGTATCACTCAAAGATCTTGTCTTACATCTAATACAGTATCCTACCTCTGACTCAGTAGCAGAGACTTAGGGAAGAAGATTTAAAAAGTGGTAGTGCAAGAGTGACACTTCACCTTCTGGTGAGAAGGTTTAGTGACCTCATTTTTCAAAAGAACTATTCATGGTGACTGTAAGATCCCTTTCTTGAGTGGAATCAGCTATGTTAGAGCTCAGTACTTTGTATGGACTTCATAAATTTTCACTTATTACACTTACTTATGTTGAATGTAATCTGCCATTTTACTTCCAGACACCCAGTAAAGGGAGATCTTCTGTGACTCTGCAGTCAGTATATCCTGAACAATTTCATATCCTGTATTTTGTATATATGCTTGTTCAAAGCCTTAACAGTTACAGCTAGAAAGATTACTGTTTACATGCTAATTATTCACAACTATTCGCATGAATAGTATGTATACATATTTGTTATGTAAATGCCTCCTTGGAAATACTAATCTAAACCCTAGCCACTCATCCACGCCTTTCCAAATGGATGTTTTTCTGTTGCCTTGTAGTACAGCCCACATGTAAGTATGATGCTAGTTCTTTAAAACATAATATGGAACAAATTATGTATGGACAATATTTTCTCCACACACTTGACAATCTGGCAGTGAATATTGTAATGAGTTACATAGTGGTACATTTACAATGACAAGAATCTACTTGCGTGCAGCATGAGAGTTTGGCTCTGAAGTATTTCCTTATGAACTAGTGAGTTATGCTTTGACTGCTTCATTCTGGGACATGGTAATTGCAACCATCTATGACAGGGTTGGGTTAGATTTTCATTATTCAGTACTGGTGGCTGAAGCACAATAATAAAAAATCTTCTAACAATGCAAGTTACTATTACAACAGTGCAAGGTCAACACCTAAGTTTAACCTTTCACCCTCTGTGCCTCTATAGTAGCAGTTGCTTCTCTAGTAGCAGTTACTTTCCAGATTCACTCAGTACTATGGATATGCTTGAGGTTTGAAGATTCAGTGTTACAATGGCTGTGTCTAAAACAGGAAATAATTACAATTGTTACATACTTGCTAAGTTACTGTTTAAATATTCTGATTATGTTATGTCTTCTCTTTAGCTCCTTGCTCAGAAGTGGCCTTTTGGAGGTTCTGAATTTGGACAGTTTCTCTGCAAATTCCTTCCCTTTATACAGAAGGCATCGGTGGGAATCACAGTCCTTAATCTCTGTGCCCTTAGTGTGGACAGGTACAGTATGTTTTACTCTTTTGACAGACACTGTTCTTGCCCTTGCAGTTTTCCTAAAATGGGAGCAATCAGTATGGTCTTAGCTGGCAGACTACACTATAGATGTAACTTAAATTCTGGTTTTTGATATCCTGGGTATAAGAAAGCACCACATCTGTGGCTCAAAGTATAACATGAAGCCATTGGACTAATTAACTTTACAGGTTTTTTAAAGGTATTTAAAAGCTCTAGTAAAGCATTATTTCTATATTTCCTTTACCAGACAAAAATTTATTTGGATTTGACTCAGTATTCAGACTTCTTTCTTTCATATGACCTCATGTTTGTTTTGTATTTGAACGGGATCATCATCTTTAGTCTTAAAAATATTTTTTTAACTCACTGCCTATGGACCTTAATTACAGTGTTTACTTTTGATAACTTTTATAACTAATATATTTTTATTGAAAAACAAGTTGGAAACTGGCTTTGATAGTTTGACATTGGTAGTTTGAAAATTAATGCCTCTGCTGGAAGTGCTCAGGAAGATACATAAACTTCTTGATAGAACAACAGCTAAGATGCTTTTGAACATTATTCTTTTATGCTTTTTTTCTGCATACATATAAGGCAATAGCAGATGAAGACTTCACTTCCATAGGAGCTATTGTTATTGTGGTCTTGAGTTTACTTGATCATGTTCTAGGCCAAAATATCAGTAATGCTGATACAGAAAACACTGCTAAATAAAATACATTATGTGTATAAGTACAGCGATGCAAAGGTAACAGAAACTTTAAAAATAATCTTGGTTTGGTTTTTACATAAAAAGTTGATGTACAAGATTTGCAATGGATGGGTAACTTAGTAGTATCCATACCTGAAATACAGTTCCTTATTGCATTAGTACCTCATTAGCTGAGGCCAGAAACAAAAAAATGTAACCCAGGCAAGTGTTCTATTTCCATTTTTGAGTCTGAGAACTATGAAAAACAATTCTATTTCTCAAGCAATATCTGGCCAGCACTCCCATGGAGTGCTCTGAGGAAGAAATCTTAGATCAAGCACATACAAAACAGAGTTTGTTAGGTGGGTTCTGACCAATGCAGTTTTACTACATTTAGTCCTACTGTTACATACACTTTCTTAAATTGGAAGTAATTCAGCTGAAGCTACCTCTTTATATATGCACATATATATTTTTACAAGCACTGATTTGCTAATTCTGACAACAAGCAAATGCTGTTTCCATTTGAGTATAAAGTCTTGTAAGGGATCAGACTCTGACTATTTAATTTCCTCCCCTAGTTTACCTGCTTTGTCAAGGACATATTCTTTATCATCTAGTGCTACTCTAGCAAAGGGTTGCAGAGAATGTGTGTTAGAAAACAGATGTATACAGCCAGATTCTGACATTGGCTAACATGAAGTGCATCTAGGTTACATCACCATGAAATCAGAAACTGAGTTCACCTTCAACAAGGTAGGTCGGGCACTGGAAGTGGCATAGTCACACTAATACAATATTTGACACTGGCTAATGTTTGCTTTTTAACGTGGAAAATGAGCAAATACGGAATTGTGTGCTGTCACAGCTGGACTGTTTCTGGTCTACAGGCGAGATTTTTTTCTTTAAAAAGCTCCTGAAAACATTCTCATTTACAGTTATTTTGGGTGTCTATAGATGGAATTGCATTCTCGAGGTAGAAAAAGAGTCAATTGGTATAACGAATTCAGAGCTCCATAGCTTCGACAATTGTTGACTCTCTGTCCCTCTTGCAGACTACAGCCTTAATTTAGAACAAGATTTTTTTTTTCCTACAAGGACTGTTCTCTGTGCTAACTACATCCTATTGTGAAACTCCACTCATTACTACTGCCTCTGGCACAAAGTGACTTGCACTGACAGCGTATTAAGGTTTAACTGTGCATGCCCAAGGGGAACAATGCCCACTCACACGTGGAGAGGGTTTTAAGAGGCTGACAGAAAACACCAAACCAGCCATTCACCCTTCAGAGGAAGCTCACTTTTATTTCAGATGCCTCTTGGGCATTTTTAAACGCCAGGTCATGATGGTGACGACAGTCTGACACTTTTTCTAAAGAGTGCCTGATTGTGACTAAGAGGAAGGATATTTCCCTTCCTGAGCTTCTAGTCTTGCTTATGTCTTTGGGCAAAATGATTTTGATGAAGAAATGGTTTTAAGAAGAGTGAAGATATGGATCTCATTTAATATGTATACACCCTCTTCTTGCTTCCTCTGCATACCAAATTGCATAGAACAGTAATCTCAGGATAAGTACTTATATTGGGCCCAACTTCCAGCAAGTGAATTAGAGAGGACAAGATTTTACCACTAAAACAAAGCTCTAAGAGCTTTATTGTATTAAAAGCTTTGCAATCAACACACTGCTGGCTATCTTTAAAATGAAGAACATCTGTGATCTCTCACAACAAAGAGGAATAGATCAATATCAGCAAGAGTAGTGTCATTTAGGAACTGTTCTGACACTAATCTTGACAGTGATTGTTTTTTACGTCCTTGATCAAGCTTCTTGTATTTTCTGTATTGCTTTTCCCTCCTATAAAGGGCTGATGATACTTGCAGAACAGAAATATGTTATACTAGTGGGCCGTTGGAACAACCAATTTTCTAATGCAGCCAAAAGGAACAGAGAAACAAAAGCACCTACTCTGTAAGACAGCAGGCACAGGGGACTGATAGTCCCCAGACAAGCTACAGCCCATGATTTAATTTTCATATACTCCCTGATTTCATAAGGCCCACAACACATTTTCTTTTAAAATTCTGACTAGATACCACTATGGTAAAATTCATCCATATTGTTCCAAAAACTATTCTGGGCCACAGCAGAAAACACAACCATGCTGCATTAATGAGACCAATACTGGAAGGCTAACTAGACTTCTAGAATTATTCTTTACCAAAGAATGATGACATCATGGAGAGAGTGTAGAAAAGCATCAGAAATGATTCAGTGGCCTTACAGATCTCAGGTTGTTCCTTACAAAAAACAATACTTAAGAAGCCACTTAAATATAATCTTCAAGTACTGAAATACAGATGATGTATCAGATATCGATGGGGTATTTAGCTTAGCAAAGAAAGATATAATAAGAACCTACAGAACAAGGTTTCAGCCAGACAAATTCCAAATGAATATAAAGTACACATTTTTAACGATGAGGGTGATTAACTACAAGAATAAGCTACCGGGAAAAGGTGAAGATGTCCTGCTCTTAATGTTCTCAGATCAAGACAGGATGTTCTTCTGAAAGAAATGCTTTAACCAAGTTCTAAGGCAAATAGAGAATATGCTGCATAAAACCAGTATTTTTAACATTGACTAGTGTAAACAGAAGAGAACAAATACATTTTCATTTCACAAAGAGTATTTTCACAGTATTTTCACAGTATTTCATTCCATAGAAGCTGACCGCTTCAGACAGCACTGCTGTTACAGCTGAGGTAGCTAAAGGAGATAGCTGTTTTGCATCTACCAGAATGGCTTGTGTGCCTAGAAACTTTTTTTCTTCTGTTGTGTCAGCTGAAAGATACAGTCTGTCCTCACACAAACCTTGCCTACTTTAGTTAGAAATGATCAGTGTAGCCCACACAGCAGAATTCTATGCAATCCTGTGCCTAAGCAGAACAGTTGCAGCCAGCTCTCTGCTACCCACCCCATGATGTGCTGTGCTGTGTCCTAGGTGCCTTGATAGCTGGCTGAGCCCCTGGAACAGGCAGAAAAAACAGCCAATACACGTCTAAGATGTCAGCTTTAGGATTTTACTTAATACATAAAATTGAACCAACATCTTTGAATTTAAGGAATAAACTGAAGGTTAGAAACTAATGCCTGTCTCTTTCAGGTATAGAGCAGTTGCCTCCTGGAGCCGTGTTCAGGGAATTGGAATCCCTATGATCACTGCTATTGAAATTTTCTCCATTTGGCTTCTGTCCTTCGTACTGGCTATTCCAGAAGCAATTGGTTTTGCTGTGGTACCTTTCAGATACAAGGATGAAAACTATGTTACCTGCATGCTCAATCCTACAAATAATTTTATGTTGGTAAGTAGTGTTCTTACTTCTCTTTTTGGAATCCACAATATACAGGTTAGACAATTACAATACTGGATTATAACATACTTTATTTATCCATTGAAGTGCAAAATGTATTCTAACGTATATTGGTGCAAAAATGATCCTTCATTTACAGTGAGCTGTCTCTTCTTTCAGCCAGAGATACTAAATGGGACTTTACAACATTTTCATTTCTTCACTACTGGGCTTCTTATTACAGAAATTTGCAATTTGGGCCTGCTTAAAGTACAATCACAAGATGTATCAGGGTAGCCAGAGCCTTGGAAGGTATTGTGTTTCTAGGTATAACACCTTGGAGCTTGTAATTGTCAAAACCCACGTTTTACCATGATTAGTCATCATTTTGCATGCAGTAGCCAGCTCTTTTGGCAGATAAAGGGTGGGGCCATGCTCTGACATAACTTTTCCTATTCTATATGCACTTACAAAGTCAAGCAGAGGATAATCCCTTCATTTACAAGAAATCATGGCTACAAATCTGACAGAGTCACATCTCCAACCTAGGTAACTTGGGCACTGTTAGTTGTCATGTAGATACAGCAACTCAAGAGCAAGAGAATCGCCTGAGACACACCAGGCTCCTTTGGCACATTTCATAGCCCTCATCTTCTGTGCTACTGCAGCTTAACAGTTTCCAATAACCCCATTAGCTTGTTTAAAGCAAGTCAGGTGAGTAGTCACTACAGAATTAATAGATCGTTACTGCACAGGAGTATAGTGATTTTCCGCCTGGCCTTACACTGAGAAAATGGAAAAGTGGTATCTTAATTTTTCCTTTGTGAACTCAAAGAAGGGCCACCATTCACCCAGTAATGAAAAAAAAAGAGTAATATTCTGTTATGTCTCCAAGAAGGCAGATGGTGCAAAGTCTTAAGTCTTGAGGGAAACTCCACATTTTTTTCCAGACTAGAATTTTTCATGACAGAATGCAAGTTTCTCTGTTTTGAAGGTCTGGCACTTCTCCTTTTATTGGATCAGAACATGGCTTGGGTTGGAATTGGGAAGGATAAACCAAAATGGAGCTAGGACATTTAGAAAACAAAAACTGTGGATGATTAGTGTTTTTCAGAGGAACATCCCCAACTTTGGTAGGGTTGTTACACAGACTGCAAGGATGGCAGAAAGAGCAAGAGACAATTGCAAGAGAAGACAGAAGGAATTCCCTAATTAAATAATTAATGCAAGTGAAGATGGAGTGGAATTGCCGACGACTTACTATATTTTTGTTTCTACCCTCTACATATTAGATGACTGTAGATACTGTAGTTATAAGGATATGATTTATGAAGTGCGTACTGCAGCAGATTTCCCTTTTGTAAGGGCTGTATTTCTCCACAAATGTGCCTGGACAATCTTCACTTCCTCTCTAAGAAAAAGAATAGTTTTCTATTCTCTCTTCTCAAAAACACTACAGTTGAGGTCTTCCATAGGCATGCTAAATTTAATGATTCTTGTTCTGTTCTTAGTGTGGTAAGCACAATAGATTTATTTTGATTCTCAAGGAAACAAACCAGCATTTACGTCCAAGCTGAGAGTAAATGTTGGACGTGTCAGTCAAAACAGAGTGTTGTGTTTCAATGCGTTGCAAGCAAGTACAAAAATGAGATACCATTTTAACCCTAACTACATTATTTACTACCACAAACACCACAATAAACAATTACTAAACTTAGGGAAGGATTTATGATTAACTTTTGTTTTTAATAGGAGCTTTATTCATGTTTAAAGCTATCCTTGAAAGACTTAAAAGTTTCATGTTAGACTATGATTCCCAAGAGGCTGAGTGCACTAGGAAACTAGTCTAAAATGCACATTTCCTGTAGAAAACCAGTTCCATGTGGGCTTTCAAGACAAACAAAAGAACGTCTACTTCTCTTAAATCAACACAGTTTTGTGCTTTGATGTAAGCTTTGTGAAACTCAGATTCCACAATTAATCATTTACAGACATTTTCATGTAGGTTTTATAACCTCACAAAGCCAGGTTCTCATACAGAATTGACGCACTGGTCAGGGTTGTGACACAGAACTCTGCGTGCGTTTTCTTGACTGACAGGCAATGCTCACAAAAGCCAGCAGACTGATATGACAGAAAGTTTTCCTTGTAAACATAGCATGGAGTCACACAGTACACATTTTGCTGTGCTGCCCAACCAATATGATTCCAGTCTGACTTGGAGGAATTTGCCACGGAAAAGATAATGGTCTCCATGTATTTGTAATCCTTTTCTCTGCAGAAGGAGTGGTAATTAGATTTTGCCGCAGTACAAACTCTTCAAATATGAGGCATATTGTTTTCTGGTTTTCTGCTGGCAGAAGCTCTGTTCCCAGTGGGGGAAATTCTGCCCCCAATGAGACTGCAACTATGCAGCAGACTGTAGCCCCTCCTCAAGCAGGGAGGAGGCTAATGAGGAGGAGGAAACAAGCTAATCAACAAAATTCAGACTGTCCTTCGAGGTGGGGTTGTGGCCTAGATGCCAGCAGCATACTCTAAATTAGCCACCTCTGTAAGCAGCTTGGGACAGAGGGAGGAAAATCAAACACATTCCCTTTTTCTTAGTACATCAACTTTCTAGTGTAACTAAAGCAGATTTAAAAATGAACATTATCACATACTAGTCTATTAAATGCATCCACTTTTTTCATCTTTCAAAGTCTAGTACCATTCAGTTTTAAATGTAAACAACATGTTGAAAGTTTGAGTTTTTCAAACAGGATTCATATAATCCTCAGTTACTAGCATTTTGACATTTGGTGTGGGAACTGTGATGTTACAAGAGCACATCCGCTAGGAATAAACAAGCTAGGGGAAAGATTATGAGAAAGACGGTTCCCTTTTACACACATCCATCTCACTGACAAATAACATAGAGACAGGAAGTAATCAAAATGTCATATTTCAGTGCACACTTCTGGCTGAGCATAAAAGTTAAAAACCAACATACAATATTTTCTCAAGTCTAAAAATATAATCGTCTACAGAAAAGAGTAATTTTAAATGTTTTGTCAAATGTAGTATTTCCCATAATACATAAATGACTTGAACCACATAAAACTGAACCACATCTAACACTTAAAATTACATAGCAAAGTACTGCTACTCTATTATCTCCTTCAGTATCCTGTCACAAAAGGCAAATGGTATGAATGGCAGGCAAAGGGTTAAAATTAACTGTACCACTAGAAGCCACCCATCCTAAACTTCACATATATCAGACAAACACCTATGAAGTGGCTCCTGTCTGCCCAGCAAGATAAGCAAACCAACTGCAAATCTGTTCACTGATAACAAAAGGTGATTAAACTTACAAGACATTTTGAATTTTCCTTTTCTGGAATCAGGACAGAAGCCGTAGAGGTAAATGGCATTTCCTGAGACAGTCTTTCAGTAACATTTGTTATCTCAGACTGACACTGTCTACATTTTGGCATGTCTTTTTCACGAAACTGGATTCCAATTTTCATGAATGAGTGTAAAATGTTCAGAAAACACAACCAAAAAAATTAATTCCAACCCAAGACAGATTGCAACAAAGGTACAGGCAGGCTATCTGTAAGGTAAAATAAATGTTTACACTGCCACAATTCCCATTTGATGTTGGTCCAAAACAGATCAACAATAAGGAAGTTTACATAATTTGTGTTGTTTACCAATAGACAGAAACCAGCGTACCAACTGTCATGCTTTCCAGGACCTTTCTGTGGTACTTTCCATTGAATCATAAGAAAATATCTTCTCTTTTCTTTACCTTATCTACAGTTTTACAAAGATGCAAAGGATTGGTGGCTGTTTGGTTTCTATTTCTGCATGCCACTGGCGTGTACTGCCATATTTTATACGCTAATGACTTGTGAAATGTTAAACAGAAGAAACAGCAACTTGAGAATCGCTCTCAGCGAACACCTTAAGCAGGTAACGTCAGGAACACCTAGTGTTTGAAAATACTGTTCTTCTCTCTTTGGGTTAGCTTAGAAGTGTTTCAAAGTATACTTGAATACAGTAAATTACAGAAACAGAAAGTGAGGATGCAGGTTATTTATGATGTTAAGGTATTCATTTAAACCCGGAACACAAGATTAAACCATAGTATAAGGAGGTATTGAAGACAGCACGCTCAGGAAACTAGCCAGTTTTTCTTTTCTTAGGTATGTATGACAGTTGTGCTTTCCTGCTCTTTAACCTCAGATTACTACTGGCTAAATGCTTTGAAATTTTTGCCAAAAAAATGTTTCTTTTTATTCATAAAGATATGGCTCCATGCATCCTCCCTACTTTTGGCACACTTTGATATACAACTTTAGTTTCATATAAAAAACAGTTGTAGATTAACCTGGTGTAGGACAGCATGGATTTTTTTTCCAGAGTTACTGCACTGTTGCAATGCCACTACTGTAGCTGCTCTGAAAAGAGCAACAGGAGAATATTACAAACAAATGATCACAGAGTAAAGTCACTCACGGAACCGTCAGATCTCACTTTGTTGTTTTTGCAGCACTGTCTGATGTTTAATCCCTAACTGAAATTTTAAAAACAATCTGTAGCTTTTCCCCTGCGTTAAATGTCAGCCCCTCAGATTCCACTCTTTCTTTCAAATTCCACATTCACAGATGTGAAGCCCTAAAGCAGTCCCTTCTGCATCAGTGAGCTCTCTCAGAGGTTCCTCCTCTTCTGGTTCATTCCAGACCAGGGCAGACAGGAAGATCCTCCCCTTGTGGAGATCCTCCAGTTTTTCCCCTCATCCGGCCCCAGGGCTTGCAACACAGTCTGTCCTAGAGCCACACACCAGCTACTCCACCCATTAGAACTAGAATGGTATGTACTGGATGGGGGAATCCACCCTCCAGCTTTCCCATCCTGATGTGCAGTGCCCAGCAGGCTACTCAGACGGGCTGTTGGAGGATGACTTTATGCCACAATTTACAGATGCATGTCTTTTACCATCCTTTTTGTATTTTGATAAAAACTGCTATTATAAGAAAGTAGAAACAATAATAGACATATTCAAAGCCTGACAAGACTTACTGTAATCGCACATTTGACTTTAAGTTTTTTAATGACAGAGCCTTGCAATGCTTGTTATTGTTACATAACAGTGGCAGTTTCAGAAGTGGTATTCTTGCCTCTTCATATGCTTCTGTTTATCAAATCCATGCCTACCAAGCACCACTGGTATGCATTGTCAAAAATCTACTAATATTGGCAAATGTCTAGAGCCATATAAAATATCCATTAAATTGAAATTATGTCCCGACTAAGTATTATGAGATTAAGCTAATACATACATTTCTAAAATTGTGTTTGTAGAGGAACTATTTACTTAAGAACATCAAGATCACATAGCAAGGATCACACAGCAAAATTAATAAACTGTGCAGTATCCCTTTATGTAACATGATGCATATTAAATATAATATAATACATCAGGGAGAATTTGACATCCTGACTAGGTATGTGGTTGAATGGAACTTTTATTGCCAATTGATTTAGGTGCCTTGGGTTTACAGATTTCCCCACATCAAGGATTAGGTACAAGTGCTTTATCAAGCAGGTGTGTTCCCAGTTTCCCGCATACATGGAAAAGTATTCTTGCAGTTTCTCAAGAAAAAGGTTTATCTGAGGGACTGCCAAAAAACTAATCCAGTGTAGAGGAATAAGAAGGGCTGGAAAGTAACCAGGTTCAGGAAAGCTCAGCAGTGGATTTTCCTTGGCTAACATCTACATTGTCCTGGCAATGACCTGCGTGCTCCAGCTGCTCCCGTCTCAGTGACGAGCAGGTTCTGTTGAGGATGGCCAGAATCAAGAACACGACAAGCCCCGTAGAAAACAGTTCAGAGACATCAGATAGCCTGGAAGCTGCAGGTTGGGAATCCTTGCATGCTTTATCTAGATTACTTACTTTGCTGCCAACATCACTGCACTACAATCACCTACCAATATGAATTAGGCATTGAGTTGTAGTTATCTTTACTTCTTTTTCCAGCGTCGAGAAGTTGCAAAGACAGTTTTCTGTTTAGTCGTGATTTTTGCTCTTTGCTGGTTCCCTCTCCATTTGAGCCGAATTTTGAAGAAAATGGTATACAATGAAAGAGACTCCAGCAGATGTGAACTGCTCAGGTACTTCATTTTCTATGTTAATCAACTGCTTATACTGAAAAAATATAATGCCGCACACTTCGAGTTTATGTGAGAAATGTCATTGTGCACGCAAGTGTGGTGCTAGAAGAGCACTTTATTTTGTGACTTTTCAGCTGCATCCATTTTCAGGGGTTTCAGTTTTAATGGGGTAGCACAATTTCAATAAATGTTGTCTCTCACCATTGCAAACACTTTCCTCCACCTTTTGTGAACTTCTGTGAGACAGGTTATTAAAGACCTGGGATGGTATAAGATTAGATTGAGGGAGTTTGGTAAAAGAGAATTAGTTTCTGTGACAGAAGAGATTGTAACCACCAAGAGCATGGATGCTTCTACAGTATATGAACAATTTAAATGTTTTGCTTTCTCTTTTGTTACCTAGTTTTTTGCTGCCGTTGGATTATATCAGTATCAACCTAGCAACCATGAACTCTTGTATAAACCCAATAGCTCTGTATTTTGTGAGCAAGAAGTTTAAAAACTGTTTCCAGGTAAGATCTTCTTGATAAGATTTTATGCCCAGTTAATGAACTGTATTAAACCACTTAGTTATTACCTATTCTTAGTAGTTGGGGGAAGAGGCATGCAAAGGAATGAAAGATTAGAAATTGTGAGCTAGCAGCTCACATAGCACACATACCAAACTGAAAGTGGAACTATCCACTTTAGCTGAAATGCTAAACTAGCAACTATGCTTGACATAGTCCTCATATGTAAACATGTAAACTGAGATAGACATGCTCTTCTAAGTACTATTTATCTGCATGTGACATGTACATGAAATAGAATTTGGTTTATAACATATTTCCCACTCTAGATGAAGACAAAAACCACATACATAGGACACCAAGCTGCCTGCAGTTAAACAATCCCATTAACATCTAAAATTTTCAGGACTGAATACCAAAGCAGGCACCTGAGTTGACTTTGGCAATTAAATGTGCATTACGGCTTTTACCTGCATTTTTCCAGTTCCGACACATGAAAACATATTTTAAGGCTAAAATAATTTCCTTGTGACACTGTGCCTCTGCAAGTCCCTGTTCACCTAATAAAGGCAATACAGAAATACAGAAAATGAGGACAAATAGTGGTAAAGAAAATAATGAAATGAAAAAGAAAGACTGAAATAGCTTTATCTGGAAAGAAAAACAAAAGACAACAGGACTGTACCGCTAAACTTTAAGTCTGCGAATAGGCAACTCAAGCTACTGAAAAAATGTAATAATCAGAGTAAGGAATACCTGTTTGTCTGTAGCCTGCTCAGACTTACAAACTATTTTAAGGGACTATTTTCACATGATAAATAAGAAGTCAGCTTTGCTTTTTACAGTCCCCTACTTCGTTTGGGAACTGTGGAGAGGATAATATGCCTGAACTCGTCCTCAGGTGAAAGGGAGAAGTAACAGTGGGTACTACCAGGCTGCTCCTATCATTAGTTCATTCTGTCCATTTGTCCTTCCAAATACAATTACGATCCAACAACTCTAATTAAAGAATTTTTGGGTATTATTTAATCCTTCCCAGCTTCTCCTTATAGCTTACCCTTTCCCGTCTAGTATCAATGTCATTAATTCAGGCAATCCTTCCATTTTGTATTTGAGTTTCTCACCCTACCTCTGTTGCTATTTTACATACCCACCCATAGACAGATAAGTACATATATCTTAAGTCTGGCTTTACCTCTCTGCAACACTCCCTTCTCATTGAGTTCACAGAAATCATGGATCTACTGCTGTTATTTTCATTGCTCTTGTGAAGGGAGAAGATAGCTGAAGAATCCTTTCTGCTCCTTTCAGAAGAGACAACTGAACATACCAGCCTGTGAAGAACCTGGGAGTGTGATCCTGAATGACCTTCTACTCTTTAACTGTGAAAAATGATACACCTTACTGTCCCTTTTCCTGAACAATTTTGTCTTCTTCTGATCTTTGAGAAGAGACCTAAGGCACAGGCTGGGGAACTTTTTTCTTTTCTCTTACGTGCTAATCAGCGCTCTGATACCTAAGTTCGAAATGCAGTGAAAAAGAGGGGGTAAAAAAAACCACGGCCCAGCTCTTACAATATGTATTGAGTTGTATCAGTTCTCAATCTGTTTACCTCAATCAAACAAATTTCCCTTTTGATACTGCAAAAGTTTTTCTTAAAGAAGAGGCACAGGCCAGGCCTAATTTGCTGCGTTTGTGATGTTTAATCAAAAGAATTGTTTGCCTCCTAGGATAAAAAATTTGCCTGAGTGCAGCTACCACTTCCTTCAGCTAGAATTGTCTGTTCAGTTCTGAATAAAAAATATGGCAGGCAATCTGCACAGAGTTGATAGATTTGTGTTAACCCTTTTTTTTTCTTTAATTTCCAGTCATGTCTTTGCTGTTGCTGCTCCCAGTCTAAGAGTCTAGTGACTTCAGTGCCCATGAACGGAACAAGCATTCAGTGGAAAAATCAAGAACTAAACAATCACAATACAGATCGAAGCAGCCATAAAGACAGCATAAACTAAAAATTAAGGACTCTGATAACACTTCAGAATCAAACAGGAAAAAAAGGTCACAACAAATCTATTTTAAGAGCAAGCCCAGTGACTGTTCCATAATCAATTCAGACATGCACCCTTGTACCTAATTCTAGACGTGACTGAGTAGATTGCCTGACTATAACTGTGATGTTCTGTGAACTGAGATCCACTGGATGGTAATTCTGTCTCTGAACATGGTATCGTTGTGATTATGACACCAAAAAACTGACTTGAACTACACAGGTGTTTTGCGCTTCTGAACCAAGCAAGAACTGTCCAGTGTCTGTGACTGGTACAATACAATCTTTTTACCTGCTTGTCACCTAGAATTAATCACTGTGGAATTTTTCAGAAGATATCAAAATGGAATCTGTCTGTGACTGTATTTTCTCTCTGCCAGTTTGTCTTTTAACTTTTATTTGTGTGGTGGATATATTCCATGCACCAGTATGTTTTGCATGTTGTTGCTATTGTTTTTCAGGTTTATGTTGGAAAATGTTTTGGTCCACACCAGTATTTTATTTACTTATGTTACAATGAGTCAGGACATTAGCTGGGCAGTTCACATTTGTGGCACTTCAGTACTCAAAAATAGGAAGAGACCATTTAAAGTAGCATCAACATTTGGCACTTATGCACAGATTAATACCAAAAAAAAAGGGTGTTAATAATACAGTATGATACTGTGTTATTTATTCTAATGCTTTGTACAAAATAAACATAATAAACATAATCTATATCACCAAAAAGAATGAAAGATGCCCAAAGAGGGTCACCTTACAATGTGTTTTTAATTAACCTGCCATGTTAATTCTTAAACTATACAAACCTATTAATCTATTTAGACTATAGCTGCATTAAATCTAAGTCAAAATGAGAGTCAATGGAACACAGTGAAAGATTATTAAAGCTGTCCAAAAAGTTTTGAGAATATGGTTATTATCATACCAAATATGCACAACACTACTTACACATTGTGAACAAGAGGTTATAGTGAATGCAGAACTGTGGAAGTCTATAACCGCTGGATGTGTACAAGGACATTTTGTGCCTTATGCTTACAGAGTTCTTTGCCTTACTCTCACAACGTTCAAAAATTTTAACGGAGTTTGATAGTTTATTAGAATTGTTAACCATACAAATGCTAGGAATACTATATAGAAACTCTTGCTTGCATACCTGTAAACTGGTGATTTACTTATTATTTCCATCTATTATGGTTACATGGCAAGAGATTCCTTTTTTTGGCTATAAAAATTTTTAATAGGTAGCCTTTCATTAAATAATGGAATTAAATAGTGTGGTGTCATATATAATATGCCTCATATACAAATCTTCTAGGAAATTTATAGCATCTGTTGTGCCAGGCTAAGAAGCAGTAATTAAAATTCCACAAATTTTTAAACATCCGTTACATTTCAAGTGAAAGAGATAATCCTGCATATTTTTATTTATGAGGTCAAAATGCTAGTGCCTACAGTAACTTCTGCTACACAAGTTTCCCAAATGTTTAAAATCACATAAATCTTCTAAAGAATATTAAAAAAAATGTTCTTTAAATTGGTTTATGTATTTTTGTGTGCTTTTGTCTCTGTGACATATATATATATGTATAAATGCATACAAAATCACATTCATATGTTGTAAACCTAAATACAGCCTTCTGACATTGCTCTGTAGTAGTGCCTAAGAGCATGGTATTGAAGGAGACTCAGCTGAATTTTATTCAAAACCGTTCATCCTCAAACTGTATCAAAAATCACAGTAAATGAATAACTATGCTTTCCTTTGTGAAGTTGAATTACTGAGTCTCTTTACATCCTGACACCTTTAGTGCTCCTTTGACAGAATGTATTGAGCAGATGATAAAGGTAAACAGAAAACAGACAAGAGGAATGGATTTAAGTTGTAAATTGCCCCTTTATTTCAAGGCAGGAAAAAGCCTTGTGTGCATTCCCCTTTTCTGTTATTCATCTGATGGTTAGATGAACCAAAAAAATGATACTATACTAGCAAATCAATAATCTGATTGTTCAGAGACAATCTTTTCTACCTGTCCACATATAAGATAGTGAGCAGTAGAGACAGACAATCCAGGACAGCAGCTTTAAGACTCTTAACTTCTACCGAAAAAAAAAGCATCTACCTGCAGAAGTTTGAGGCCTTGAAATGGACCATTTTTAGGCTTTACCAGCACTGATACCAACCACAAGTCATGAAAAGCTAACGGTTTTCCTTCCAGCATTGACACTTCAAACATCTATTGCTTTCAAACCAATAGTTGGCTCTATTACGTGGCACAGATATATGCATGTGCACACAAAGCATACTTTAAGCCAGTTCAGCCTAGATGGAAAAAACATCTTCTTATTCCCCAAAGAGCTGACTGACCTTAGCGGCAGCATTATAAAATACAAAACTTTTTCACTAAACCAGAAAAGAGGGCAAAATGTTTAACAGATGCGAGAGGTCTTTTTTAGAATGCTTTAGAATGATTTTTGGAAGCTTACTTAGGGATCAAAGCCTGCAAAAACTAATCAGTGATCCTCATTCCATCTCCTCCAGCCAGTGGAAAGACAGATAAGAGTCTAAAAAACAGTGACAAGTGAGGTCTTGGGAGGTCTCAGACTCTTTTTTGCCATTCACACTCTTGTATTTTAACTGGCAGCTGCTGTACCCACTCACAAACCAGTCATAAGGACTGTGTCATAAGAGGGTGTTACAATGTGGCATTTATGGTGAGGGGGGGGAACTGTTTCTGTAAAACTTAATAAGGTACTTACTTTTTAAATTCTCTTCTATTCTTCTCACTGATAATGGTAAATATTCCTGCTTGTATTGTATCTACCCTCAATTCTGAAAAGCTACCTTTCCACAAAAAACAACAAAAGTCTTCCACAATTCTGAGATTCAACTGTATTTCATTTGAACTTTTCCTTCTTCTGCGAAGTTCTGCAAAAGGTGCTCTGGCATTTCTCTTTGTGCTTCAGAACCAGTATAGGTTTATCTGGGATCTTCTTCTGCTGTTGCACAGAGGCTGCTTTCTCTTTCACATCAGAACAACTTTCCACAATAAGTATCCTTCCATCCTCCTCTTATTTTATAGATGTTTTTATGTCTGCTGGTTGCATTCGTCTCAGCTGAACCAAGCCTAGCTTTTCTTGGCAGCTGACAGGATCTGACAGGTTCTATTCCACATGTTTCAGATTAATTTCTTACACTTTTTGTAACATCTGTTCATCATAATCAAAATCCACTTAATTATCACACTGATCTTTTTTGTGGACTTCAAAATTCCCAAATCTTTTCAGTCCAGTCAGTGTAAAATTTCATTGACTGTTTCCTCTTATATACAGTCACACATCTCAACTTCACTTTGCAGAGTTTTCTTTAATTTTAGAATCCAGTTATTCTCCTCGTTTTCAGTATGCATTTTTTCCCAAACTACCTCACTAAACATTTCCTTTTTGGTATATTTTATACTTATTTGCTTCAAAGATACAGCATACATAGGTTTTCATTTGCATTTATGCACTTATATTTATATTTGTGTTTGTTTATTTACATAAGAAACTGCTTCAGACCTGACCTAGCCAGCTCCGGTGCTTTGGAAAAAAGTGTCTATGTAGTTGTTCATCATAAATCTCACCTAATAGAACTGTTAGCTTGGTTCTGTGAAAGGAGGCTTATGCAACCCTCATGTCTGAATATGTTTATTTTTGCATTTTATACAGTCAGTTTCACGTGTACCTGTCTGTCCCTCCATCTTTCAAAAACAACTATGAACCCCCTACCCAATTTCAATAAATTTTACAGAACACAATTATCATCATTATGAAGTTACAGATAATTTCACAAAAACTGCAGGATGGGTAGAAGAACAAGATCCTACTCGTGCTCTATTCAGAAAATTGGTGAAATGGAGTTTATATGTACTCAGCAAATTCACAGGACAGAGAGATGTTACGAATATTACAGATGCAGAAAAATCTTTGACCAGAGCTTGCAACTTGTAAGATACCTGAGAATCAAAGCAGAACACACAAATTCTTTGAAATCAGTATTTGTAAGTTGCATTGCTTGTAGAATTACTTGCTTTATTGCTGTTTCTCTGTCATCTTTTACATATTTACCACAATCTTGTTACTATATCATTTGATTCTGTGAAGCCTTATGGATTTCAGTTTGTGGGAAGACATGGTACAAATTCAAATTCTGCTGCATTTATATGAACAGATTTCTGCTCAAATGTCCCTGAGGTAAAGCATGCATTTTCATTAGAAGAAACGCACTTGGACTGCATGCTAACTTTGCCTTGTAAAATTTCTTCCAGACAATCAGTTGTGCAAAGTTTGGCTCAGCAAAGTATTCCTAATTTCCACTCCTCACCCTTTCAAAGATTAAATAAAGGCAATTATCTCCAAAATCAGAGTAAGAGAAGACACATAAAAAGTTTACAGAACAGAAACAATTCCTAAGTTGCATCAGAAAAAAAAAGCGACCACCAAAACCAGGCATGTTTAAAATGTGGCTCTAAAAGTAACACAGTTTATCATTAGTCCAAGTGTGGGAAAGGAAGATAAGAACTAAATAAAAAAATTTAGGTCATTTCCAGTTTCTCTAAAGGAAGATCAAGTTAATTGAACTCTAGTATCTCATCTAGAATCAGCTTTTTCCCTGTACAGATACCACTGCTTCCAAAATGAACTGTTGCTTGAGTCACAGTTTTGCAGTCTCATTAGTTACAGTAGCTTATTATTACAATAAAGCTCAACATAATAAGCATTGTAACTAATAAGAAAATATAATTTATTCCATTCTTCAGCACCACTCTGCCCACATTTCTCAGAGTAACTGAGTATCTGCAAACTGCTCTGAAATCAATGATGTGGAAATACATGGTACATCTCAGAATAAGGCCTTTACTTTAATCTCATGCTGTCTTAGTCCTTGGAGTAAAACAACTGAGTCTACAAGTTACTGAATCAAGCATCCAAAACGATTAATGAGAAGCATTTCTAAGCCATACAAGAGAAAATGCTTTCTGCTATATATTTTAAACATAGGGGAAGATTAGAAATCTATCATTACTAGACACCACTGTGCCATCCTGTAGCCACACTTCGTATTTATTGAAATCACTGTGTCTAAAGTTTTTGTGTCTTCGCCTCCAAAATTGTTGTACAGTGGCCTCCCTGGTATTGCCTCTGAATAAAGTATACATGTGGATTAGCTTTCTTTCAAATATCTGCACAGTATTACTAAATCATCAGTCTCCAGATACATGTTACATTCCAATATAGAAGCACAATTAAACCACACTACCAGAAAAGTAACAAAATTTTTAGGGTCAAGTTTTAAACAGAAAATTAGCATAGTACTCTTGGGACAAATGAATACTACTGTTCAGTACTACTAGTGGAAAATATATTATTTTTTTTTACAGAAAAAAAAGAAACTATGTCACTTTTGCTAGTTCAACTAGTATTACAATAATAATTAAAAGAGTAGATGTTTAGATGAATAATGAGAATG